CTCCCCAGGTGCAAGCTTCTTAGGGGCAAAGATCCCCCGTGAGGGGCTCGTTTCCTTGACCCTCCTCCCCAGCCGCTCCGTGAGGGACCTTTAAATACCTTGGCAGGAACTACGGGTTGGGAGAAACGCTCCTGAGAGTGCTGGAGCTGAAGGCTGTTTGTGTATTTGGGATAAAAACTCACCTCTGGGCAAAACTTCAGGCTTTCACGGGAATATTGACAAATATTAACCTTGTTAAACAGGAGTTTGGAGCTAATGCAGGGGAAACGGCTCTTTCTAGGCACACGTGTGGTTGGCTGAGGTTTTAAACAAATGAGGGCTGTGAACTTGAAGTGCCACTCAGCATTAGCAGCAATTGAAATGGGAAGGTCTTAAACGATGTCGATAGGAGGAAAAGAAAGAAACTACACAGAGATTTCTTTGAAGGGAAAAAAAAAGTTGAAGAACTTTGGCCTAATGTTTGTTGTGTGGTGTTGTTTTTTTGTTTCTTTTTGTTATTTTTAATAGCATGTGGCATTCCAGGTTCCTGATAAATGGCAAAGTTGTCAAGGCCACGCTGCTCCAAAAACCCCTTGAACAGAGAGTAGACATGAGAGAGTTTTTTTTTTTCTTTCCCCCATCGATATAAATAATAGACCTTTAATAGCTTCCAGATGTACATAACACTGGAAAGTGACATGTTCCCTTTTGTGGAGGGCTTGTTTAATCTACTATAAATCCATGTCTAGGTATTCTTAAAGAACAATTGAGGTATAAAGTACTGTGATTCCATTGCTGTGTATATTCTTTCCTTCTGTTGATGGGAATGTTTGTTGCATTTAGTGTAACTTCATGGTTACTGTCTTTAGTTAGATTTGTGTGAAGTTTCTTCAAATGTCATTTGATCACTAAGCTGTTTTTCTCTGCCTAAGATGGATGTGCGTAAGAGAGGGAGTGAATTCCTTGCAACTTTTGCACTGAAGTTTGACTGAAAGTACAAAGATCTAATCATGCCTTATGTACATTCTCAGATCTGAAAGCTTTTGAAAGAAGACTTACCGAATACATTGCATGTTTGCAACCAGCTACAGGGCGTTGGAGAAGTAAGTTTCACATTCTAAGAAATAAATAGGGTCTCTTTGTCTCTTTACATTTATGTATAAAATCTTGCTTCAGAACAACTTTGAGGAAAGCGGGTATCTATAAAGACTCAACTTATGTAGTACCTGCTTTAGGTACCAAGATTGCTTCCAAAATTGTTTCCAAAATTGCCAGTTGCCATGCCAGATATCTGTAAAAAGAAAAGTACTGAAAACTGGCATGTTAGAAGTGTTCAAATATACAGTTTGTATCTATAACTTGTTATACAAATGTACAATATTACCAGTGTTGAAATAACTAGTTTGCATGGCTAGTATTAAGTCAATTTGTTTACATAACTAACTGCCTGCTTTGGTAATTTTGTAATTCATGCTTAAGAGTTGCTTTTGACTTTAATTATACTGAGAGTGTTTAACTTGATGCTAAATTTTCTTTCTGTAACCCTGGAAGTTATTCACTAGTTAGAGAAAACAAAACAAAACCATGCCTTCGTTTCTTTGAAGCATCGGGATGGTTTTACTTGATATAACGTACCTACTTGTCCTATCCAGAAAACTTGTACAAAACCACCTTTATGGTTTAAAACAGTAAAGTTTTTATGGCCTGTTTTCATTTTTAGTAGAGGTTGTTCCTCCTTCTTATGGACAAAAATAAACTCTTTATATTTCTAATGAAACACAAATGCTTTTTGCTGTGAGTTGTGCTGCTTATGACTTTCATTCTTTTCTTTATCAGTGATTCTGATAGTGGTATCAGTCTGCACAGCAACTGGTGCTTGGAACTGGTTAATAGATCCTGAGACACAAAAGGTAAAGATCATGCTCATCCTGAATGTGATTTGTTTCATAAATTGATGCTGCAGTAGAATTATATGCATTTGTACAGTAAGTCAGGTGCTGTAGACAAGTGTTAAAATGTCTTCAAAATTTCAAGACTAAAGATGAGTTTTGTACCTGGGTACTTAATGTGGCAGGGGTGCAGCCATGTAGACAGTACCTCAAGTGTAATCAAAACCATAAGGCAGCAGCAGTTCTCCTGATTTCTGGGGCAAATTCATAGGACAACAGCACTGTACAACTACTCATAGGTAGCTTATAAAGGTCTCTTTTGTATGAAATGATTGTGAATAATGAAGTCTAAATGAAGAGTGACACAGGCAAATTAATTGCACATATCACTGTGCAGTCTTTTTTTTTTTTTCCTCTCTTAGAGCCTCGATTTTATCTACAAAGCCACACAATGCAGATATTGTCAAATTGACATAGGGATATAGTAACTTTAAGTGTTAATTGTAGAGGCCTAAACTGATCTGATTCTTAAACAGTATTTCATTGTCGGTTTTCATTTCTATGAAAGCAGGACAATATTTTCAGTTATGAAATATGTATTGGGACACTGCTTGGCAAAATGCTCCTGCTAGACTGCCTCTCTAAGGAGTTGTTCCCAAGTGCATGAAAATGACTAAGAGCAATATATGCTTTGAATTAAGTGACTAGACACAAACTCTCTGTATGTTTCAGAAAGTGCATCCTAGGACTAATCTGACTTCTTTCCTAGGTGTCATTTTTCACATCACTTTGGAACCATCCATTTTTCACAATTAGCTGTATTACCCTAATAGGCTTGTTCTTCGCTGGAATACATAAAAGAGTGGTGGCACCATCAATGTATCCTTCGATCATCTTTGTCAGGTTAAGTGTTGTAGTTGCTGCTGCTATTGAAGCCTATGTTAATGTTGCTTTTTCTGTTTTGACTTAAAGTGTGCACAAGTGTTAGCTGTTTTCCTTGACGCAAACCATGCAGTATAGCAGCCCGATGTCGAACTGTTTTGGCAGAATATAATATGTCCTGTGATGATGTAAGTGTTAGCAGCTCATTGCCTAAACCTTTTATTAAAAACAAACAAACAAAATAAAAGTCCACAAGTCCTTTAGTGAACACTGTGTGTGGGTGTATGTGTGTGTATGTATAGAGGTGTGCATACACACCTTAACAAAAAAGAATGTATTTGTAAATAGAATAAGAAAATAAAATAAATTACTCAGTATTATTCCATAGGTCATTTTAAGCTTAGCCTGGGGTATTGGACATGAAGTACTATTGATAGACTAAATTTTAATTAATTTAATTAAAAATTAATTAATTTTAACTAATTATTTTCAAATCCTGTTTTGCAGACTGGAAAACTAATTTTGAAACCTAGGCCTCATGTTCAATAAAGGCCATCTTCCTTCATTTTTTTCCACTGCCATGGAAACCAAAAATGACCTTTTTTTCAAGGTAGTATGACAGCAAAAACCAAACAGGACTGGTTGTCATTGCCTAGGAGCAAAAAGTCTTATACAATTGAGAGTGTAAGTGTGCAATATTGCTTTCTTGAATATTTCTCCAAATTCTTTGTTATCATATGATCAGTGCTCTTGCTACTTCTGATTACCTCTTTTTTTCAGTATTAGTGTCACTTTTTTACTTCAGCTAGAACAAAACATACCGGTGATGTATGTTAATTGGTTACGAAGTTGAACTTGAAGATCAAACCTCATTTGTGTAACGTGTCTTTGTAAACTATTGTAAATAGCAGATTGATGCCAATGTTCAGAGGAAAAAAAAAAAGTAATATTTGCTGTATGGATTTTTCTTATTGTTCTCATCAACAGTATTGAAAGGAACACTTACCATTCCCATGACTTTTTCTTAGCACACTTATTCATTACAGCTGTCCTTGTTTCCTGGTCACTACTTCTGGAACTGGCTAAAACATTTGCAGAAAGACTGCTCATGCTGGAGAAAACTGGTCTTTTTGTTTAAGAACTTCGCAAATAGTTGGAGGAGCACATTTGTCAAACCGTACACATAGTGCACTAGCCACTTTCCTTGTGGTCATACATAGCTCGTTGTTAGATCTGGCTCACAAGACTGCTGTTTTAATCAGATTTTAATGTTTTAAAGATTGTCTTAAATATGCTTGCATCTTTCTGATTGTAAGATTGTACTGTATCTTAAATCCCCAAGATACCGAGTGGATTTTTATGCTGTGATAGTCTGAATATGAAAGTAGTCTTGGAAATGTCTAACTTTGGATTATTTGGCAAAGTAAGTATGAACGGTGCCACAAAATAACAGAACTTGTTATTTCAAGTGTTGAAAATAAGGTGTGCATGTTATATGCATAAAGTGTAACTTGCTGAATCGTTAGCACTGTAAATAATTTTAAGAGTTTAAGTGTTCAAGGTGCCTTTTTAATTGTTTCAAACTCCTTTAATTGACTAAGGCTGCAAAGCTGTTGCAAGTTCCCTAACCCATTAACTCCAAGCAAGATCGCCTCTTAAAGGGAGCCTATTGACTTAACTGATATATATATATTTTTAAGAAGTCAATTGAGACATTAAAAACACTCTGATTTAATCTTTCCCGTAATTCTTTCTCCCGCTCTTGCAACATTTTTAACCGCTGTATATTTTGTAGGTAAATGTGTATAAAATAAACCCGACCCAAGACCTTTAGCGTCTACGTCCATGTCACGCATGCGCAGCTCCCGCGGGCCGGCAGATCTACCCGTCTGGCCAGCAGGTCTGCCCGGCCGGCCGGCAGGTCTAC